CTTGTCGCGATTCAATCGCGACGATCAAATCGTGAACTCTATTTTGGGCCTTACGGTGGGATACGAGCTTCACATTCAAAAACAGCGACCCTCGTTAAGCTAGTATAGGATTATAGCTAGTACAAGATTTTTCGCCATCTTTAGCATTTTTCAGGAGTAAAATTGACCCACAAAGACGCAAAACCCTTTTCAAAGTCCCTACCGTATTATACAGCAATAAAGAAGAACGATATTTCTCTCCATGCTATAAATATAAGTTGGGCCAGCTCTACAGTACCAAAAGCTTCTCGGAAGAATTTACGGCAGAAGAATTATTAATGATCAAACGTAGGCACATTTCTTGGGACCTCAGCACGGTGGCTCACCGAACTTTCCGAACAATGATTTCTGTAACAACTGCCACGTAGATCGAAATTTATTTCAGTATCATATCAAAACAAGCATGAACGATATTAGTGACAAAGGAAAAATCTACAGATGACTATTTACATAGCTTCGTCGAGACACAGCACAACAGTGATGAACACAACTTCAAAGTTTAACGCCTTCTCTACTATTACGGAGAGAGGAGATGACGAAAGGTAGTGCGTGGTCGAAAGTAGGACAACGAATTCGACGGTCCCACAGCTTCTTCCTACTGTCTGATGGTGAGTGCAGGCAGACAAATAAGACGGGAACTTGAGAATCGCTCTGGAATCATAAGAAAATATCCAGGTGTGTTGGTGTTAACTAATTTCGCATGCTTTTTGAAGGTAATCTTGAACTTCACGAATGATTCTGAATTATAGACTGTGGGTCACAAGTTTTTATCTTCAGGTCAGGTACCGCTGCGATAAAACGTTGCCATTTTTGCAACGCAAAAGTCTTTCTAGCAGCGTAGTCTGCCAACAGGTTCAAATTTGCGTAATTTCAGTATCAAGGTGGCAGAATAAGCCGTGTCACCTTCAAAAATTCGTAACTTCTCACTATCTCGAAATATTCGCTCGACACCAGATTACTTAGAATGTAATACCATATTTTGCAATATTACATAGATGGCTGTTTACTAAACGATTGCGGTGATAGAAATGGAACCCTCTGATGCTTTAAATTAGGCCACCGAAATATAGAGCTTATTTTATGACCTACTTACCGCTGAAAAAAAAATTCGCGACAGTTTGACTTCCCGTAAAAGCTTTTGACAGAAATGAGAAGTAACCAAATTCGCCTTTCTCTGTTGTTTTAGTTGGAGCGAAAAGGTCGAAAACTCTTTCATCAACGATTCCAGAATCTTGAACCTCTCCAAAACAATCATACTGATCGAAGCTTGCATATCTTCTACTATTTTTTAATCCACCAACCATTGTCCAGAGCAGTGAGACAGAGACCCCAAGTTGACGTTGAAAAGCAAATTTTCCCTTTTCAACAAATTACGAAACAACTTTGTTGAGACAGCGAGAAGTCACAAAAAACGAAAACGACACGCAAAAAACTTTGTTCCAGTTTGATGTTCTTTTGACTCGTCCTGAATTTTATTCTGTTGATTCAAAATGATTTTCGGTCATAATCGCTTCATCATAATATTTGGTGAAGAGAAGTTGTTTTTACCATAACTCAGAGTGGACATCTACTAAACCAAGCACATCACTTTAGTCATCCGCGTTTCGCCGTTTCTGATTTGACTGCTGGTACACTATACACAGATAAGCACCAAGCAGTGAACAGCAGCTGCTTCGAAACGTCCTCAGACTTGATGGATGGGATATGAGACGTTGAAGCTCAAAAATAAGAGCGATTTACCCAAAACTTTGAACTGCGGTCTCATTCCTTTGCCAGCGTTACTTTCCATCCAGCCACCCCGCGATCAAATCCGCAAGTGAGGAGATTGACTTGCGGATGATCGTCTGCCCAAGCTGCACACGAAACCATTCGCGAATGACACTAAAACTATTGAATTCAATGTTTATCGATAGCTATCACATTATTCGCGCTCACCCTTCTGTTTGGCACTCTTGGCAGACGGTTGCCAGCGAGATCATATATGCGAACATGACGATTATCAAGAGGTATTGCTACGACGCCATGGGATCGGCTCACCTGGAAAACGTATTTCGGTACCCTTTTTTTCGACTTCACTTACAGAAAGGCGATTAGCTGCAGATGACAATCTTATCGTTGAAATTGCACTACGCATGTTTCGCAGATCCCAGACCTAAGAAACGGAGAAATAACAAGTCAAACAGATCACAGGTGAACTAACTTTAACTGTTCTATCGTCGCTGCCAGACACTATCCTATCACCGGATGAAAATGCCACAGAACTGACAGACCTATAAACGAATAATAAAAGCAATTATAATCCTTGAACTGATAGATACAGAGACATACTCTTGATGGCCTTGGAAAACAGCGACCGATTGTATAGTCTCACGAAAATCCCATAATCGAAAGGTAGAGTCCTTTGATGATGTTACGACAAGTTTCTGACTGGGATGAGCTGAGCAGTGATTCAATTCCATCTCATGTCCACTCAGAATATTCAGCACTTCCCCTCGTTCAACATCGTATATATTAGCTGTGCGATCCCAACTCGCTGTACATAGCTGACTACCACCTGAAAGAGAATCTTAACCACTCAAACAATTCATACATTGCAAATCAAAACACACTCCAAGCATATTAATGATAAAACGTTTTCGCCACTAATTTTTGGGGTTCCTGCGTGCGGCTTGACTGCACGTTACACAATTTAAACACTTCGGGATCAGCGGTTGGATTACCCCAGGTGAAGAATATTTGCGAGCTTAAAAAATACAATTTTGCATATATCAGTCTGATTAAGTTGTGGTACAAATTTTTGTGCCCTGAGGAGTCTTCTACTAGAATTAGTGAAAAACACCATTTCCGGAAACATAATTTTCGCCCATTTTTGTTTAGAGTATGCTTTGGAGTTTAGAGTATGCAAAACCAGATAACACAAGCTTTACCTGCAAGCCAGTCGCATCCGATCACAACACCAGTGTGTCCAGTCAAACGCATCAGTGGGCTTTTGATCCGGATCCCTTCAGATGACTGCTGCTGAGTCGTTTCGCTTTCACAAGGGCCACTGTCAGCTGCTTTGTCCTCATCATCATCGTCTGAGCTTAAGACTGTCTGTGATCCTATTGTGACTTTCCAAATATGGGCCGATTCATCGCCGCTGGCAGTAGCAACAGTGACATCAG